GACTTAATTTAATTTGGATTTTCAAATATCTCTAAAGAATGTATCTACAGATTAGCCATTTAATAAGTTGCAAAGAGAATATCTTATTTTATCTTAAAATTAGTCTAGTAGTATGATTGAAATATTTCGTACCTGAAGATTGTATTTGGATGTGTCTACTGCCCTAATTACATTAGGAAAATTGGCTATATTCTAAAAGTTTCTTTGGCTTTCCTCAATTTCTTCATTGGTGGTGCGCGTTTTTAAAAGTATAGGTGACAAACCTGCTATTTTCCCTGATACATCACGAATAACTTGTAATGCAGTGCCAGTGTCTATACCTCCAAAGTCAATCACTACAGTAAGCAAACTCCCAGTAGCATAAAATCGTAATGCAACCAAAAGTTGTGTTAATGGGGTTAAAGCATGGTTTCTGGAATTAAGTGAACATTTCTATATTAATACTTTATGAAATCAATAAATTAGTAAAATGTAGTATCTAATCTGAGATATAGATAAAAATATCAGGTTAAAAAATATGAATCTCCTATTAAAAAATACTAAAAAAGGAAATTTTAAATTAAACCTTTTATATCTATAATAAATTATAGAAATTAAAACTCTTATAGGTTAACAAAAAAAAAAAAAAAAAAACTGAGAAAATCGGTTTAGATCTGATTGTATTACATACATACAATTTGAAATTAGACTCCTTTTGTATTATAAAATGATTTTTAATGTAGTTCTTTATTAACTATCCTATCAACATAATAGAAAACTTTATTAAATCTCTATCTTGCAACACCCTAGGCTAAAGATAAATACCTTTCATTCTTATTTTAGACAAAAAGTAGGTACTTACTGCTGTGTATTCCTATGCAAATGTATGACAATTTGTTCAAGTAATACTTCCACAAAAGCTTTTGATATTCTAAACCTATTTATAAATTCTAGATCTATCCAGATTTCCATAGTTTCTATTCGTCCTCGAAGGACTTCTTGGGTTCTTAACAATAATTAAAATATCCAGATCATCTTCATCATTAAACAAAATATCTTCGATTAATTCGATAACATCAATTTTGGGTTTTATGAAAAAATATAATTTAGTTTTATTTCACCAAAACGAACTTAAGAATTTATGATTGACAATTTTTAAACAAAACACAAATGACATGACATTGACAGAAACAACTTACATCACAGGCTTTGCGCATGTATTTATCTAAAGATTGTAGTTTAATTAGTGCTCTATCTACTGGTTGATAGTTAAACTCCTGATGACAGTTACATCCACCTATACATAGAACCATGTTGCTTAAACTTAGGTTTAACAAGAACTTGTCGTTTAAACTAGACCTATACAACTGGCCCTAAATAAAACAGTCCAAAAGGTATTCTGTGACTGCATAATGCCGTCCTCTGTTTAAACAATATTGTGCCTCTCCTGGCATATGGCGCGGTGGACGGTATCTTATGTGACAGAAAAGAAGACAGTAGGCACAATCAGCCGGTCATAGAACAAAAAGAAGAAAATGTTTTAACATATTATATACAGGGTGTCCCGAAATTGGACAGTCATATTTTAACAGCGTAATCTACATCCTAAAATAGGAGTAAAAGTTTATATAAACAAAGATCCGAAAACGTTTCTTTTTCGAGATACAGGGTGTTAAAAGTGAAGTCCTGATGACACATTTTTGTAAATATTTTCTAAACGCTTAAACAAATGCTAACCTTTTTACGCTCTATGTAATGGACTAAATCTTAGTTTTTGATCATCTTCATAGATGGGTAAATTAGGGGGGGGGGCTTAAGGTAAAATTGCCCTAAGTTTTTGTTGTTGTCAGTTTTTAACATTTTTTACTAAAAAATTTGGAAACCCAATGTTTTCTTTACAATAAAGCTACTCTTGCTGCATCTCGCTAGGACGCACCATTTTCAAGAGAAATGCATTTGAAAATTTCATGATAAATTCATATTATCTTATTCGAAAGTGCAAACAAAAATTAGTAGGCCTGGAATCCAATAGCTGCTTTTCAATTTTTTGAGACGCTGTGATAAACAAAAATTGGCTGTCAATTGTGTAATTATTTGTACTTTTTTTGCGTGAAAGAAAAATACTTCTAATAAATGGAGAGATTTTCAAGGAGAGAATTGGCAGATATTCATTTTGTATATGGTTTGTGTAATGGAAGGGCAAGAGCAGCGGTTTGAGCATACCGTAGACGGTTTCCTAACCGAAGAATTCCTGACTATCGTGTTTTTATTAATAAACATAGAAATTTGGTTGACCATGGTTCATTTCAACGTGATCGTGGACAAGGGAGACCACATGGGAACAACAATTTGGAACACGCTCTTAATTTATTTGAAGAGGACTCAAGAAGGAGTATTCGAACTATTTCCACCCTTTCAGAAATACCACGAGCAATAGTAAGTAATAATTACTTCCCTTTTTCTTGATACTATTTTGTGATTCTTAGTTTTTATTGCTCAAATTTACAAGTACAAGTATTAGAAATTAAAAATTTAAACAAACCGACTTCAAAAACGTGCAGATGCCATCACCACATCTTAAACAAATTTATATGGGACTTCTTCTGAGGTATCTCCTTACTAACAAAAAAAATAATCATATAAATCGGATAAGGTGGTCAAACATTATCGCTAAACATACATAAAAAAATGAAGAATTTAAAGATTTTCTCATGGACCCAATTATTAGATTTTGATCAAATTTATATGGGACCACTCCTGTAGTACCCCCTTTCTATAAAAAAAATCATTGAAATCGGACACCGTGTTAAAGAATTATCGCTGAACATACATAAACAAAAAATATCGCGACAAATTGAGAACCTCTTCCTTTTCTGAAGTCGGTTAAAAATAACACAAACCAGTTTCAGATTAAAGGCATTTTTAAATGCTTACTTTAGTTTACGTGTCTTTTAAAAAATATGTTCATTTAGGTTGGAAGAATGTTAAGAATGCAGGGTAATCATCCCTATCATTATCAGCGTGTTCAAGCCTTAAGACCCCACGACTTTTTACCACGAACGGAGTTTAGTAAATGGATAAGAAACCATCAGGAACTGCTTCTTTTTATTATGTGGAGCGACGAGGCTACATTTTAATATTCCCAATCACCATTTTTATTCACAAGAAAATCCTCGGGTGGTGCGACGTCGATTTTTTCAAGATAGATTTTCTAATAATGTTTGGGCGGCAATAATTAATGACAGATTAATTGGGCCGATTGAAATTCCTGCTCGGTTAAATGCAATTGAGTATCTGAATTTTTTACAAACCCACCTTGAACCCATTCTGGATAATCACCCATTAAATATTCGACATCAACTGCACTTTCAGCACGACGGAGCGCCAGCCCATTATGGCGTTAATGTGAGAAATTGGCTAAATGAAAGATTTCCGGGTAGATGGATAGGAAGAGGTGGTCACATACCGTGGCCACCTCGATCTCCGGATTTAAATCCATTAGATTATTACTTTTGGGGTCGTATAAAAGATATGGTATACGCTAAAGGATACGTTTGGCAGGGAATGAAATACGGCAAAATAATTTTAAAGTAATGCGAGCTTCACATGCAATTACCCGTAGAGCCGAAATGTGCCTTTGTCAGCAAGGCAACTTTTTTGAACACTTACTTTAAATGTTGTATAAATTGATATTTTTAGTAGAATTTTTGTTATTTTTAATAGAATTTTTGTTATTTTTAGTAAAATTTTTAGTATTATAGACAAAAACAATTTTTGAGAATCATTTGTTTATCGTCGTTATTTTGACCTATTTTAAGTCATCCTTAGGAAAATAAAAGTAGATACTTTACGTTAAAAAGCTTAAAATTATTATCAAATAGCATTTGCAATAATTAAAAGTAGGTAACTAATGATTTCTTCTCTAACTCAGTCAAACTTCATATTTTCAAGAAATTACCAGCTATTCTTAATTTCAAATACAGTTTTGCTATAATTTTACGATAGTTAACGTATCTGACTTATTTTTACCATCCTAAGGATTACCCTAAAAGAGTTTAAACGTCGGCAGTTAAAGAAATAAATTCTCATCAATCATTTTATTGGGCAAAAGCCAACCAAACCATTAAAAAAAAACAATTGATTAGTTTAAGTTTAAATACTATTTAGTTTTACCATTTAAAGTTTTTTTATAAAATAAACATTAAATTAAAGCAAAATACATTTCTTTAGTGACCGGTTTTCCAAACCTGAAAAAAATTCTGATTCCACAGGCCTGCTAATTATTGTTTGCACTTTCGAATAAAATAATATGAACCTATCATAAAATTTTCAAATGCTTTTTTCTTGAAAATGGTGCGTCCTAGCTAGATGCAACAAGAGTAGCTTTATTGTAAAGAAAACATTGGTTTTCTAAATTTTTTAGTCAAAAATGTTAAAAACTGACAACAAAAAAACTTAGGGCAATTTTACCTTAAGCCCCCCCCCCCCTAATTTACCCATCTATGAAGATGATCAAAAACTAAGATTAAGTCCATTACATAGAGCGTAAAAAGGTAAGCAATTTAGTTATCTATAAGCGTTTAGAAAATATTTACAAAAATGTGTAATCAGGACTTCACTTTAAACACCCTGTATCTCGGAAAAGAAACGTTTTCGGACCTATGTTTATATGAACTTTTACTCCTATTTTAGGATTTAGATTACGCTGTTAAAATATGACCGTCTAATTTCGGGACACCCTGTATAGACATAACCTATTTTTATTCTTTTTTGTGTTTTAACAAGTAATATAAAATATAGTTAGTTATTCCTAATTACACGATTAATTTAATTATTACTAGGTCCAAATGAGTATACCGTCTACATGAGTCAAACAATTAAAAACAATTTATATATTAAATGCAACCACTGTCACACCTACCAAAGATAACTTAATAGGTATTTTTTAATAGTTTCTATTATTATGTTTCTAGTAAGAATATGGATATTTTTAATTGGCTCATAGAAAATATGTTTTTTAGACATCTTAATAAAGCGTCATTCTCTGAAAGGCCTGTTTCCCAAGAAGATATATCGGTTCCCATTTAGAAGGAAAAAATCTATAAGACAAAATTACCGCTTTCTCAGAGGTAAACTTTAAATCCAAACCCAAATATTTTTCCTACATCCTTCTTTCTTCGCTAGACACCGATTACGACATTGAAGATGACGATGACGAAGAAGAAAATAATGATTTGGGGGAGGATATAGTTTTGGAGGAAGACAACGAGCCGCCGGTACCACTAGAAACGACAACGACTTCATGTCAGGTTGTTTTTTTTTAAGATTTCATTAGTAATAATCGAGTCAACGTAGTTAGAAAAATAGTCAAAGCTTCAAAAACTTTACAAGCACAACCAGTTACTTTAAAACTTTTTAAACTACATTATTTAAAACAAACGAGTTTGAAAATTGTTTACTCACGAAATTATTAAATTTTAATTATATTTTTTTTGTGAGTTTCAAATATTCTTTTACCATATAAAAAAAATCGTTGTAATTGGATTTGTTCTTGAGTTTTCGAAGCAAAAACCTCTATTCGATTGACTAATACGGGTACAACCAAACTCTAATTGAGATATAGAGAGTATAAACCAGCAATAGGTCACAATGATCCCTTTTATATTGTAGAATAGGTATTAAAAAAATTTAAAAACATTTTTTATATTTAGAGAGGAGACATTGAGCGTTTTTTAAACTTGCATACTTTATATACAGATCATTGCCCAATGTGAAAATAAAATTTGATTTTTAGGGTTCAGTAAAAGTTTCACAGAAATTACATTTTTTAGGCGTGCGAAAAAGGGGAAATAGACGCCGAAGTAAAACACGGCATGGCTGAAGAAAGATCGAAGATGGAAAAAAATAATACGTTAAGTAGTATAAGCCGAAATGATGGAAAAGTCGTAGATATATCTATAATACTAATTTTAGTTGTAGTATTTTTATTTATATTGAATAAATTTTTATTTATATAATTTATTTATCTGATTAAATATTTTGAGTTAATATTAATTTTTATTACTATTTCATTCGCCTATGTTCCTGTAGATACAGTGATCTGGTAAACGTAAATCCACTAGCAATGTTTTAGTCTTAATAGTCTTAAGCATCTATTAAAAGATTTTTAACCCATAAATTTAGCATTTGATCTTAGTAACCTTTGGCTGTATACGAGTACAATAACTAAAAAACTCGACTCTGGTCAGTGACAATTGCGAGAATCAACCAAATATGTAGTAATAAATTATTACCAATAAATGTAATATATTTTTGTTCTTAATATTCGCCCTTCTCTTTGTAACACCACTGGTCAAACCAAGATTTACAAAAATCAATTTTAGTAAACAATCCCATGACATCCAAAGAGCGATCACATTTATATTGCGCCGATTGTACATAACGAGGAGGGACCGGGAAATGCCAGCCGAGAGTCGTAGACCTAGACTGGAATGATAATTTCTGTCAAGGTTTTTATACTATTTCATTCACTACCATTTACTTTATTACTTTTAAGCAATAATTAAATAGTATGTTGTTTCACGAGTGACGAAAATGATTTTCGACGAGTAAAACACTATACTTTTTCTACAAACACTATTATGTCATGTAGGTACCTACTAAAATGAAAAAAAAAAAACAAACGTTAGCAAATGCTTTATTTTGTGTTAGGAATAACAAAAAATTAACCAACAATTAAATATTTCAGAAATATTATTTATTATTTAAATATTGATTTATTGTTATATTTGAACAATTGTTCAAAATTATGGGGGTATCACATTCAAGCTTTTTATTTATTGAGGTAGATGCCGACATATTTGTTCTACTGTTAAAGGTCATTTCAGATGATGATGCGCCATAATCGGATGAACTAGTAGTTTCCTTATTTTGTACAGATTGTAAAATTTTGGTTTGTATTTGGTTTTTACTGTTTTTACCACCGTGCTTTTTTAACAGAAGCCAGTCACCTCCTGCATCCACTAATAGCGTTGCGGATGTTCTGCTAAAACAGTGCCCAGTGTAATCTTGAGGATTCGGAAGCGTTAAAAACTGATCAATTTCGTTAGGAAATTTACTGATTTTATTAATTCCAACAACCTGTCTGCTACACTTTCCATTCTGATAGTTAATAAAGAATCTTGAATTAATTTGATCCATGTTTGCGGGACGTAGGCTCATATATTTTTTAGAAATATCATAAAAGGGTCCAGAAATATGAAGAGAACGTGGAACTTACGGATTTTAACTAACAGAATACTTCCAGTATCCTTTACATCGCTTATTGTTAAATCTTTTAGTTCGTGGCAATGACAAGCGCCAGATAATCCAAAAACTAATGCTACCTACAAATATTAGTAGTTATGTATTAAGTATTTGTTAAAATAAAAATAATAATTCCGTTACCTTTGTTATTAAATATTTATAGTCAGGTGCATTCTTTAGGATAGTCTTTATGTCTTCAGGCGAAAAATTTTTGGATTTTTGGCTTTTAAAACCATCAGATTTTCTTTTTAAAAGCGAACGTAACTTTGGATATTTACTAATATCGACATCATTTTTAACAGAGAGTGTAGTTCTTAGCATCGAATAAATGGACCATAATGTCGACGGTTTAAAATTTGAACATATTTCTCCAAAGTATGCTAGTAGTACAGTTTCCGAAAATGATTTCACTTTATTTTTTTCTCTCCAGTCCAAAAATTTGATATAAATTTCTTCATATCTCTTTTTTGATTTGGCCGGTAATAAATCTGAGGAGGTTTCTTCAGCTTTAAAAATAATTTCTGGGGGAGTACAATCGCTTTCTGACTCAGAAATCATGAAAATGTGTTAAATTTAGGACGAACTGAAACTGACAGTTCTCAAAAGTGATAAAACTTCAAATAAACAAATGAAAACGAGGAAACTAGATGTAGATTGGTTTAATTTGCACTATTTTTATACATTTTTATTTTATCTTTAATTCATTAAAGTTTAGGTAAAAACGCATATAGAATTTATAGCATCTTTTTATTTTATTATTAATAATTATAAGCTGCCAAAATATTATACGAAGCGACTGATATATGAAAATATGTAACAACTTACTTTCGTCACTAGAGACGAAAGTAAACGTTATGGGATTTTTTCTCACTAGTGACGGAAATCAAGTTTTCGGTGAAAGTATCCTGTGGCGAAAGATGTCTTTTTGTAAGAGTTCGTAGAAAAATAATATTTTATTGTTTTACAGTGCTCCTGTATATATTAATAAACTCTCACAAATAAGGTAAAAAAAATCCTTTCATATTAGAAGAAAGCCTGGTATAATAAAGAATAGGAAAAATATAAAAAAGAATAAAAAAACTATTCCACATAATATTTTACTAATAATTATAAATTAGAAACCGGTTTCTCTATATATAAGTCATCATCAGGCGGTCACATAAATTACTTTATACAAACGTATATCATATAAAATATACTAATGTTATGCGATCGCCTGAGGCCGACCCTGTTCTGTAACCTTCATCGCTGCCGTTACGTCTGTGTTTTCATTTTCGCCGCCACTAGCCACAAAGACTCGAAAAAGTAAGTAGAATGTTTTTTATACGCAGTCCAATGTGTCGAGGACGGATTTTTAGAACTTGTAGTCTAGCATTGAGCTTCTAGTGAGGATTGAATTTTTCTAGAATGTTGAATTTTTATATAAATAGCGCGACTCTGTCGATAGAAGTTAAAGTTCGAATATAAAAGTTGTCACGGCGAATTGTTAAATAAATTAGAAATATGAATTTTAAATAGTGCATAAATATAAATAAATTAATAAATACATAGTGTAAATAAATAATGCAACTATATATACATTAAGCAATTGTTACATAGGTATTGGAAGTGGAACTGTAAATAAATAGTGGACAAAAAGGGTATAAACTAAATGATTTAAAAGTGACAAAGTTACGTCGGGAATTAGAAGATCGCAAGTTGAAGACGACATGGAAGAAAGCAGAGCGGCTTAGAGAAGAAATAATAAGTTAAGGTTTGTATCCGGAAACTTATATATTGTCGGATGATGTCTTCTGTAATTTCATCAATTACTTCTAAAATGAAAATGAAAATATCTTACCCTTTTAGAAACTAAAGTTTTTTCAGATATTTCTTCCATGAATTCCAAGGTTTCGTCTGATATTTCTTCCATGAATTCCAAGGTTTCGTCTGATATTTATTCCTTTAATGAACTGTTTTCTGACAGAACTTTCTGCTGATCTGAAAAATAGGATTTCATCCATTGAGGAGAAAATCAAAGAGAATAGAAAAGAAGATAGAAGAACTGGAAGTTACAGAACAGACTATAGATGGTGAGATGGAGCCAAAGTTGCAATTGGAAAAAACTATTAAGTTTGGTCGTGTTAAAGTCTCAACTTTCGACGGGAAGATGTCATGGAAAAATTACCTAAAACAGTTCGAATACTGCGAGAACGAAAAAATGGTCTGAAAGTAAATTTGACCTTCGAGGAAACGATTTAGATGTCCTTCAGTTTATACCTATAGAAGAAAAAGATGACTTTAAATAACTCAAAAAAGACTAAAAATGCGATATGGCCAAGAACGGTTAGAGCATTTATAACAATTACATTTAAATAATCGTAAAAAGAAACGTGACAAGAGCTTTCAAGAAAACGAATTAGGCATTCCAACGACCTGTCCAAATGGCTACCAGTGGGGACTGACAGTTTAGATATGGCAACCCTGTTGCCATGTTGTCATTAACAGGTTCAATGATACATATATAGTTATATAGATTGCTTAAAGCTGGTCGTTTGCAAGCGGCAATATTGCCTGGCAAATATTTATTAATTTGAATCGGTTTAGCAAAAATGTGTTTTAAAACCAATTTTTAGCCCTTGGATATTAAAAAAAAATAATTACTTACATTTTTACTTCAAGGCATAAGCTTATGTTTATTTTGAAAAATATGGATGATCAATCTATGTAACTATCTATTTCATTGACCTTGTCAAATCAACAGGCCTACAGGATTGCCATAATTTTGCCATATCATAACCTGTCAAAACCCACTGGTAGCCATTCAGTTTGGAATGCCTAATAAGATATTGCAAAGATAGTGCAATTTGCCTACACATTATTAAATGTTTTAGCTATTTAAGCATTTATTGATGGACTTCGTTACCAAGAAAAACACTCCGTGTAGCCCGTCACAAAACATTAGTCGATGTCTTGTCCGCTGCTCTTTAATATGAAGCAGCTACGCTGGCTTCTGGTGGATAAAGACTGTAGAAGAACAGGGAAATAAATTCGACCTATTGTTTAACATAATAAAAAGCGTTATTGAGAAGCAACCGAAGACTATCAAGTGCTGGAATTGCGATGAAATTGAAAATTTAAGCTGTTTGCGGAAACGCCCTAGAAACACTATGAATAGACAAACCGTGCCGGTAGCTGTACAGAGTGATACCTGGAAGAAGTGAAACCATAACAGTAAAGTGCTTGGAAGGAACAGTAGAAAAAGGAACGCCTGTCATGATGGAAGCTTCGAAACTCAATAAAGGTGTTGGTCGAGGAAATCTGATTGAAAAGAGGCACATCAGAACCAGGGAATGGCCCCGATGCGACAATGGAAAGAGGAAAACCGTCGACCTATTTGGCAAAAAATAGCAAAACTTTCTCACCAGTAGCTTATCTATATTTGGCTTAAAGGGACTATTTTATCCTGGAAGAAGGCTTATAAAAGCGAGTTTTAGAGAATGATGAAGGTGCCGAAAAGATAAAACAGTGGTCATTCCAGATGCAAGAGTAGCCGAAGTACTTCGTCAGTTACGATACAGTCCATCAGGAAGATATATCGGTGTTAAGAAAACTCTTCAGAGAGTTCGTGAAACGTTTTATTGGATAAAAAGTTCCGACGATGCATAGGACTAGTGTAAAAAATGTACTACCTGTGCTATAAGTAATGGACCCCAACGAAACAATAAGTCCC